TGATAAATTTCGTGCTCACCTAACAATGCAATTCATTTAAAGTTGTTACTTTTTTTCTCCAGATAAGCCTTTACTTGACAAGAAAGTTACTAATGAGTTGTGAAGGTACTTTTTAAAAATAATTAAGCAGTGTTTATCATAATTAACTGTCGATTAGTTACCTAGAAGAAACCAGTTTACAATATTCCTCAGCTGGATTCTATAATTGTGTTATCTGTCACCTGTTGTTCTTTAGTAAAACAAGACTAAACAGCTATTGTTTCACCTGAGGTTAAAGTTAAATCAGTGTCAGCATGAGGAAGCCCTGACCTGAGTGGTATCCAGAAAATTCCTCCTGGCAGTGAGAAGAGGCGACACACAGCATGAATACGAGCAGCCCCGAGAGGAGCGACGCCTGCAGGGGACACATCAAATACAGCAGATAGACTCATGCAACACAATTCACCATTTCACACAACCTGAATGAATATTAAACTGTAAACTAAGATGTCACTGCTGGATGAGTTTATTTTCTGACCCACTGTTCCTACTACAAGTGCTGTCAGCTGTATTTAAATAAATCCCTCCATTTGACTCTATTAATTAAATTAAATTAGGTTTAATTAAATAATTAAACCAACTAACTTTTGATTGGCTGCTTCTTGCACACTAAGAATTTGAACGACAGGTGGGTGGGGCTCCTGTATTCACAAACAGTTAAGTGCATTTAATGACCACCAGAGATGGGCAGTAACGCGTTATTGTAATCTGATTACTACAAAAAGTAATTAGATTACTGTTACTTTCCCGTAAGCACACTGCATTACTGCGTTACTAAACCGTGATTTTGTGTGTGAGAGTGTACGATGACAATGACGTAGGCGCGTGAGACGTCAGTGGCAGCAACAGATGTGTAAATCAACATCTGAGCAAGCACCTGGCCTTCTGCCACGGGAATGTGAAATTCACAGAGAAAGCGCCGGATCCCTCCACTGACAACTGCAAGAATCACTCGTCTGCTTGACTTCTGCATTTCTGTCACTGCAGGTGCTCATTGGTCTATCCTTTGAGGGATAGGCCCCCATTTTAAATCGTAGACAAGCCCTAACTACACAAAGACTGTTGCAAACTATTCAACTATTCTACTTTGAAGAGTGCCCATGCTGAACCTTGTGTTTTTAGACTTGAGTCCCTTGTTGGTATTTTTTTAATGTTATGCACAAAAACGGGTATCAATTAGCTGTCAGTGAGGTAGCTCATCCATCTCGTGATTCATCATATTTCACAGGCTAAAAACAAACAAATTATTCTACAGGGACTGCAGCAGTGCTTCTTTCTCTGTGAAGGGAAACTGTAAACAAACAAGGTAAAAAATAAAAAAAAATAAAAAAGATTGCAATCATGCTGATGTAGTTTTGCACCACTTTGACTTGTTTGACCTAATTTTTTACACTGGGAGTATTTTTGACTGCTTTATGGGGGCTTTTTAGTTCCAGGGGACTTGATAAGTCAGATTCTTTCTTCCATTTACTCAGTGCATCATGTAAAGTGTTTTTACATTGTAAACTTTTATCCAGGATCCAACCAACTTTATTTTATTTCGGAAAAAGAAAAAGTTTAAAGTAATCATGAGCTGCATAAACAGCCTAAACGGAGTGTTAAGTATATTGATCAACAGAAATTCAGCATAATTCAGCTCTAATTCCAGTCTTCAGTCTTGTTGCCTCAGCTCAGGTGACTGGTTACTGTCAGGTTTTATGTCTCTGCTTAGACCAGTGACAGGTGTTATACTGCCCTCTGGAGGTGGCATAGTAAACTACTGGTAGGATACTGACAGAATACAATCCTATGGCAGTTTTTGTATTAGCCAAACAAATTTTTAATAGAAAAGCAAAACTCCTTAATTCTGATGGTCTTTGTTTATTTCCATGTTATTTTTTCCAGCACTGTAAACGCTATGTGCAAATATTGATTTAACCCACACAGTCAGTCTGATTGAATGAATAATAGGCAGGTTATCTGTAAAGCCTTTCCTGACTCAGTGGTTTTTTATTCATTCACCTCTAGGCTGCATTCCTGAAATGCTCTTTTTGAAGGACTTCCTAAAAGGACCATCATTGGCTTCAGCTTATTCAAATTTCTGCTGAAAGGTTATTAACTAAAACTAATAACCAAGTTAACCAGTTTTAGCAGAGCTGCATTGGCATAACAAATTTTTTGCATAAGTGATTTTAAAATACTCCTTGTATTTAAAGTCTTTTTTTTATTTAAAAGTTTACTTTAAGTTCTAACTCACAGTCATAGATCTTACACTGCCATTTGTTGGACAACCAATGACAAGTATCAAAAACATCAGAAGTGAAGCAACCGCTTTCACTGATGAACCTCCTGACCTCAGAGCAGAACTTGATGCATCAAATAGGATCAGAGAAGTGTTTGGGTGGGCTACACCAACAAAGGAGAATCACTTTAAAGGACTCTTTATTTGCAATGAGGTTGCTGAGGTTTTGAGTTGCTGCTGTTTGCCTGAGAATTAAACAGACTGAGGTTTCTTTGTCAGGAGGAAGACTGCTGAGCACTTCTCAGACTCATCTGACATTCCTGAAGCCTCACTGTGAGGCTGCAGACCAGCACAGGAAAAACCTGCTCTGTACCTGGAAGGCTGTGTATTAGATTTTAACACAAGGTCACTGAACTGGATGAAAGGAGGATAAAAATGACCACAACCACATTTTTGTAATGATTTCTGAAACCTCAGATCAAACATGTTTGAAAATGAATTTTGGGAAGATTCAAACCTTGAAAAGGTCAAATGAGCTCAGCTTCTCTAGTGTTAAAGAATCCCTCACTCTTATATTGTTTCTTTATTCAAGTAACAATTTATTCATATAATATTGACCTGAATAAAGTAGCAAAAAGAGCTCATTATCCAATAATTTAACAAGAACATTTGCCACATTTCTGCTAGAAAAATGTTGCCTTGTTAACCTTTATTAGAGGCTAGTTTGTGCATGAATTTAAACAACCCAAGAGAACAGCTGTAACAGACCGTACAAGCAAATTCAAACCCAATTAACTCTGCCCCGTTGGACCTCTGGGGCTGTGAGGTAGTGAATACTCTCACATTTCATATTTAACTTTTTTGTTCATATTTGTGGATTGCTATAAAGAAACAAAGGCTGCTCCAACATTCCCAATGTGTGCAAAATCTATTTGGTCACATGGCCAAACATTACACCATGTATAAATTTCCCTTTGGCTTTGTTGTGAATTCTAGAGAAAAATCCAAAGTCAGCAAAGAATCTAAACACAGCCTGCTCTGTGAATTAAAAAGCTTCCCCAGAACCTAAAAATTACCCACAAACATTCATCAGAAATGTCTGCTCAGCAAAATGACTCCCACACAGATGACTTACTGAACAGCTGAATACAGAATTAGTTTATGATGTATTGCACTAAAATGACTTTAAAAATGAAAATAAATTACCACAAGTTGTACTTCAGTAAACAACAATAAAAAAGTTTTTTAGATGAATTCTGTCTGCAGATTTTGCAGATTAAGACGCTAACACAAACAAAAAGAGAAGATCTGCATTTTTAATATGGAAATTAAGACCTTATATATTGAAATTTCTAAGGCCTATATCAACATTTTAAGGTCCTGCTAACAGCCTGAGAGGCACTTTATAGACTGTCCAGTAGACTAAGGACAAACTAAAACCTTCCCCTGATTATTTTACCATAAACAACATTTAACAGTTCCCTCAAAATGTGCAGGGCCAAATCCACATATGATGATAATCTCATCTTACCTTATCACAGGAGGCCCCCATGGTGCTGCACAATGATTCCCTCAAGACCAGACCTGCTAAAGGATTCTTTGGGGATATGGATGAGAACAAAAACAGCCCGATTTTACGTTCCCTGAGGAGTTTCCCTTACACTATTATCACCCCAACAGTTCCCCCTGTACTCTCGTCTCTCCAGGATCTGTCAGGTTCCCAGGCACGGACGGGATCCTGTTCGACTTTTTTTGTTCTTCTCGTCCTCTATCTGTGCTTCTCAAAAGGGTGAGAAATACCAGATCCAGAATCCAGCATGAGCAGAGAAAAACCAGGACAGAAGGAAGCTGAATAGATTTTGGGGTTTTGTGTCTTCACATTAATGTCTATATCACATTTCCATGTGCTGCTGTCTGGAGTTACAAAACAGTTTTAACATCTGATTAAAAAAAAACGTTTTGAGGATTGTAATCATCTAGACCACAATTTGCACCCATAATCAAGGCTTGTACTTCCTCTCATGAGCTAAATAAAAAATACATTCAAAATAAACTATATCATTTAACGATTTTTCAAGCTTCAGTGAAACTTTTTCAAATTAGTTTAGTGAGGAACACATTTTACCCTCAGAACAAGATTTCTTAAATCAAAAGACCGAATGTTTTGCTGTGTTGCAATTTCAAACAATGTTGTCATTTATGCCAACACAAATAGATTGTGTGACTATAGAGACAATTAATGATAATAATAATAATTTGTTGTATAAACTGGTCATTTTTACATTCTTCAACCTAGGAACAAGAATCACAGGTGCGTAGTTTTGCAACTATTCTTCAGTGAACAGTCAGATTTAGTTTTTATGTTCTTCCTGAAAGTCTGAACTCTTTATCAGACTATTAATTTAAATATCTGTAAAATGATCAACCTACATTTACTTGCAGTACTTTTTGTTTTTTATAAACAGACCGCACAAACCCCCTTTACTCCATTTTCTTAATGACTTTCCAGGTAAACACACCCAAACAGCAAAGACTAAAGGCCAAAAAATAACCTTTGAATTTATGGTGTAAGTAGGACAGTTAAGACACTCCTGTCTGAGATTCCAAGTTATCGTTAAAACAGAAAAAAAAAAAGCCCAGCCAATCATGCAGAGGGAGGTAAGATGTGGCTGTGTTGTAAAACGCTGAAGTGCTGATTGAAAATGGTGTCAGTGAAGCAAAATAAAACTCAACCAGTGAATGTTCGGTTTAAAGACTTTATTGCGTTTAAATCTTTACAAAATGCGTCAAGTGTGTAAACCTATTTTTAGTCTCGTCTTTGTGAACACTGCGACTTCAGAGACGACTTCAGTCACTGCAGATTCAGCACTCTCACTTCTCCTTCTCCCTGTCTCTCTCATTTTTCTTCTTCTTCTTTTTCTTTTTTTTATCGTGGTGGTGGTGGTGGTCATCTGGGGAATGGGAATCCCTGTGAAGATCCAAAAAGTCCAAGTTAACTCTGCAGTATGCATAATACATTTTGGTGTTACAAAACAAGATATTTTCAATCATTAAGCTGTGAAGATGATGCAAATTATGTCATGTGGTTGTTTCTGTAATTGGTGTGTGGTATACAAGAGCTAGAACAGAAGATACAACTTCCCATAAACATCCACAACCCTTAGATAACTCCTTTCTCACCTGTCCCTCCTACTCTTCTTCTTCTTGCTCTCCCTTTCGTGGCTTCGCTCCCGGCTGCGGTGGCGTTTACTGTGGGAGTGGTGAGACTCTGAGGATGGTGAGCGTCTTTCATCCACCTGCCGCCTGAAAAACAAAACAATTTTTAAAAAATTGTCTTTAACCTATAAACTCCTCTGATGCAATATCTTAATCGTCAATGAAGCATAAACGTGATCATGAGGAGTGCTTCGTGTACCCGTGGGAAGACTGTTCCACTCTCATCGACTCCTCTTCGTCTTCCTCCTCTTTCCACTGTCTTGCAAGTTCCTCAGAATGGACGCTGATCACCTCTCTGATCACCTGCAGGGCGATCATAGAGACCACATTACTGTTTCCTAACCTTGGTTCAAACAGGACAGGTCTCTCTGAGGACCGACACACTGAGCTTAGCATCAGATTTTCAGTTCGGAGATTCCCAGGCAGAGTTTATTTAGTATTCCAGTCAGAGTTATCATAGTTTAGCATTTTCTAATTAGTTTCTATTTTTATTTCATTTTGACTTAAAAAAAAAAAAAAATTACTTATTTCAGTTTAGTTTTTAATGTTCAAAAATGTTTTGTTTTATTTCTTCCAGTCTTGTTATTGCTACAGTGTGGAGGGAATATATCAGAGCCAAGAGTCGAGAAAATCAGTGCAGATATTATATGAAAAACACACTGAAAGCAGTTAAAATCCAGAGTTTCAATAAACATGTCTATTAATGCCTCATTAAACAAGATCTCATCTGCCGCAACCGGTTATGGTGAGAGAAGGAAGACAAAAAAACTACTTATAAAACAAAAATTGCCTTGCTCCCCATAAATGTTTACCCTGCTCAACAGAATAAGCTAACATGTCTTTCAAAACTATACTGCTCCCACCGAAAATTCTCTGCCTGTGTGAAACAGACACACGTATTGTTGAGATCTGGGCAGTCAGTCAACATTCAGATGACCAGCATCTTGCTCAGTAGAATCTAAACTGGATTATTCGCCCTCTTGTCCATCAAGATAAAGCCTGTTTTGTCTCTGTGCATTTTGAGAAACTGTCCACATTGGAGTTGTGTAGGGTGATGTAGCAGAAAAACTGATAGTGGAGCAGAGGCTGAGAGTTTTCTGAGGAAAAGAAGTACTCAACAATTTATCAGACAGTCTGTTCTTTTGCTGCTTTGTGGCAGTCAAATGATATAAATTAACAAAAGAAAAAAAAAGCCTGTCCAGCTTCATGAACACTTTATGTTGAAACTCAAGAGCTCAATAAGAAGAACAACAATAAGAGTAACTGGATTTCCAAATCCGGCTCACCAAATCCACTGGTCATTTATACTGTGCTGTCCTTCGTTTTCACCATTTTAAAGTACTGTTACTTTTGATATTTCCAACTAAAGATGGGAAAAGCGGTTCTTGTGATTCACAACACCCTTCATGATTTAAAAAAAAAAGTTATTTCACCTTCATCATGGATTATATATAAATGAAGTAAATGATTAGAATCAGGACAACACTTATTATTCTTTATCAACTCATTTACCTCAGTGTAGGATTTCTTGGTGATGTGAACATTTTTGGCTCTGTAGGACTGACGCCGCCTCTTGTAGTCCCTCATTTCAGCCATCAGCTCCAGTTTAGTCTTTGGTTCATTTTGTTCTTCATCTGAACAAAAACACACACAATTTTTATGTGGACTGCACCAGAGAAAGACAAAAAAAAGTTTTCCTTCACTAAAATTACAGCAACTCTAAGTGTAGAGTTAAACTTAGAGTTAAATCTCACCTTTTTGGAGTTTGGACACCAAATCTACGTAGAGATCGTCGTTGGAGGACGATGCTTCCTTCTGTTCATTGATGACGCCGACCACATGATTGTACAGAGCCAATCGGTCAGCAACAGTGAGATCACACATGGCTCGCTTGTGGTTCTGAGGCACGTCGACCGGCTCACCGGAGTACTGACCTGATAAAGGATCAGACAAGTTTTACAAGCTGAGTAAGAAAACACAAACTAAACTGACAAGATTTTAGTTCATTTATCTAATTACAAATCCTGGACTTCAACCTCAAAACAGCCACCTGATCACTCGGAGTCAGAGGTTTGGGATAAGTTAAAGTTTTGCTTGTTTGGAATCCTGAAAAACAAAAAATTCAATTTTTCTAGTTTCTCTAAATTTCTAGTTTTCTCTGCATGTGGCCAAAAGGAAACCCAACTCTAACCCCAGATGAGTCGCCAATAACCTGTTTGCTCTTAAGACATTAATGAGGTTAAAAAAAACAAAAACACGTCCACATAATGCAAGTCAAATGGTTAATTATTCCTAAGATCACTTCTCAAAGTAGCTCTGTATTCAGCCAAAATTTGATTCTACATAAAAGTAATTTGGTGGAAAGTGGAAAATCATAAAGGCGAATTTACACCATGGACCCTGTTCTCAAAAAGTGACATAAATTTAACACTGACAGGAAATAAGTGCTTCAAGTTTTTTTTATGTTTAGCGCCATCTTGTGCCAGCACAGAGCATGACATCATTGGGTCGGTTGGCTGCAGTCAATAGACTTACATTAGTTTATGTTAGCTAACTAGTAACAGAACCAATAACTGAGGGGAAAACATGGGGACTTAACTAAAAATTGGTTTAAGGGGGTCACGTTTGTGCTGCCTCCAGCTGTAACAATGAGTTTTATGTTAAAATCAAGGAATAAACAGTAATTGGTTGTTTTGGTAGCTGCACTAATAAGAGGAAATTCACCTCTTAGCTCTAATGTTAGGGTGAGGAACAAAGACAGAAGTTACTTTAAAGTTTAGTCCCTAGTTATTACCTAACATCAATGACTGGTTATCTTTTTTGTTTTGCTGCTGTTTAGTTTCCGTTTCCTTTCAGCTTCCAAGCTCTGATGATAACTCAGCATCAGTAAGGAACTGTGGCCTTCTACTGCAATACTTTTAGATGAAGATTTGACAGAAAGCAGAAACTACATAAGTATTTTAAACATTCAGTCTAAATATGACTGATGAGTCTACATGTATGGACTTTCCCCATCACATAAAGGAAAAAGTATTTGTATGTTCAAGGATGCAGATGTGACTGATAAGCTTCCCGCACCCAAACCCCTGTGGTTTGAAAGGATATGACAGTAAAGGATATGAGGCATGAAACCAGTGGCAGACCTCTCTAGAGCCCATCTCCTCTAATACTCACCCCAATCGCTGCAAACAGAACAAACAACACATGGATGTTAGGAGCAAAACTAGAAAAGGACGTGACGATCCTAAATCGATATTGTAAAAGCTCCTCTTTTACTAATTACTAATTACTAGTACTAATTACTAGTTACTATTTGGTGAGGGTGAGAGCCAAAAAAAAGTGAACAATAAATTTACAATGAGTTTAGTGAGGACTTTAAAACTAATGGCATTTTTCTTGGTGTATAAAATTAAACATCTGAATATTCAAGAATAACCCTGTAAAATCATGTTTATCACTGGAGAGGAATGACCATAATCCTAACCATTCGATCTGACCATGTCAAAGGGGGAAATAAAACTAACTTTTTTCTTTTTCCAACATCTAACAGCAGGTCTGGATTCTGAATGTAGGTCTGGTGGCGGGGTTGAGTAATCGCCAATTCATCATCGCCAATGATGAGTTGGCGATGACAGAGTTAACTTTGTACCTTTGCTTCTAGTAAATGTACGTTGGTGTGTTGTACTTAGAAAAAGAACGCACAGAATAAAATGAGCCGCTACCTTGCCAGAAGACTCCTTCCATCCTCATCATTGGTGCAGCAGATCTCGCCTGTAGGATCACCTGATGCTGGGTGGTTTTGTCTGCATGATGAATGACAACAGAAAAAACATTACTAAAACATTCCTGACCAAAAAATTCCCTCCTTACCTTCCTTTCTACTACAAATGAGTTTCAGTACGCGCCAAGACAAAAGCATCATTACTTAACATTCAAAGAACATTTAGTAAACAATGAAATGAAGGCGACATATGTTCTTTTTCCAAGAAATAAAAAAAAAAGTAATATTCAAAATTATTTATATAATTAACTAGATAAAAATGGCTTTCAACAGGGCACATAACAAAAGCCTTATACATCTTTTTTACTGCACTACAAACTTTTTAAAGTACATTTAAAAAGAACAAAGAAAACAAAATTGAGTGTTTCTTGTTGAGATTGTTTTATTTCATTTTTTTCAAAAATGAATTATTTCTTCCTTCTTTTAACAACACAAGTTGCAAAACTTCAAAAGAAAAGAGGTGGTCTTCTGAAAAGATCTAATCTCACTAGGGTGAACTTTGGTTATACTAAAGAAAGGTGATAATTTCCAGAGAAAGTCCTCTGTGATGACTTACCCATTGTAAAGCTTCTGACGCTGGTGTTCTCATAGCTCACGGAGGGGTCGTACATCTCCGCCTGTAAAGTAGTGATAAGCTTTACAGCTCTTTCAATTATTAAACACAACTTTACATTAACACTGGAGGTTATGAGGTTTTCAGTAGTCGGTTGCACAATAACAAGAAGCTTTTGTAGTCTACTTTACTGCTTTTGCCCTGCTGTCTCTGCTGTAATTGGTACAGCCAGGCTACAGCAGCAGATTCCAGCACCGACATATTAATCTGTAACTACATGTGTTACCTGCTCCTCAGCAGAGTAGCCCATCTTTTTTAGCTTGCAGGAGGCTTTGTGCTTCTCCATGGTCCTGACCGGGACCCTGTGGTGAGGGTCATAGGGACACTGCTCCATTGGTTCCTGAGACTGCAAGCATATTACATTAGCAAATAATGAATTTAAATTAACATCAGGTATGAATTACACAGAAGCATTATTAACATACCATTGCTGTAACACAATTACCTTCTGAAAGGTTTTTTTCTGCAGTGTTTATTAAAACTGTTTTATAAGGACTAAACAACCTGGCCAGAATTCAATACAATCTGTATTGTGTAAATATGTATGAAAGCTAATAATACGCATATTTTTCTATGATGTAACAACTAGCACCACAAATTAACCCCATATCAAAACTCGTTAAAATGGGTCTAATTCAAACTGAGAATTAAATGTCTTTGTAAAAATTGGATTTAGATGTCATTAACTTTTGTCTGCTCTCTTCCGTACTTTGCGTTTTGCCGTTGTTTTTCTATGTCCTTCTTTCCTTGCCAAGTTCTATTGAATGCTGTTCAAGAAATCTTCCTAATGTAAAGTTCAAAGGGGGTTTTTCCTTTCAGTCATTGACAAATGCTGCTCAGAGCGGGAATTATGACTTGAGATGTCACTATTTTGAATCTTCAGTATCAGAAAATGATCGCCAAGAAGATACAAATATGTATGTGGTAATCAAAAGAAGGAAAATTTGTACTATTTCATGTAAACAAAGACATTTGAACCAAAGTGTAGCTTCAAAAGCATCCTCGTTGAAACTTTTGAGAAGAGCACATTAAAAAATAAATAACAAAAGAAAAGCGGCCTTTAAAAAATCCGGTAAATATAAGATGCAACCATAAAAACACTATTAGAAGACGCACGACATATTCATTATAGTTATATTAATTACATCAGACGTAGACCACTAAAAAGGGCAATATAGAACCACATTACAGCAAATAAAAGTGCCAATTAGGCACACATTAGAGCAACCAGCAAATCTACCACACATTAGAGCAACCAGCAAATCTACCACCAAGCTTGAGTGACTTCAGAAAAAAATATTAGAAACTCACCGAAAACACCCCAAACTTAGCTTAGCTTAGGCAGCAGAGAAAACTCCATTATAGTCACTTGAGCAAATCTCTCTGGACTCAAACTTAGTTAAACGCTTAAATATCATGCTGCTCTATTGCTGCTACGGAAAACAAAACATTCAGAGAAGGTTTTCTGCTGTTTTGATTGAACAATAAATGCTAACATTAGCCAAACAAACGCTAGCTACCTGGTTTGAGTTCTTGTAGTCTAGCGACCATCCCAGCGTTTCAAATATGTCGTTTATCTGTTTTTTGCACTTTTCAGTAAATTCCGTCAGCTCCTGAAGACGCTCCATGCGGTCCTGGAGAGTTAGCGGCGGTAATGAATCCGACATGATGGGTTTTTATATCAAAATGAACAAAGATTTTCCCTTGAAATCATCACAAGGATCGTTCACTGTACTGGAACATCCTGCGCGCAGTGATGACGGAAGAACAATAGCGATGCATGCTGGTAGTTGAAGTCCAATAGTTGCTATATTATATTATATTATATTATATTATATTATATTATATTATATTATATTATATTATATTATATTA